AGTCCCCGGAGGAGAGAACAAGGGAGCGAGTGTGTGGGGAAAACTCCCTGGGGAACTCCTGGGGCGGGGGTCCAGGACCCCCGTGGGGAGGGACTGCAGAGAGGCGCCGCCCACCCCGGGGGCCGGGGCCTATCCGGGCAGCAGGGCCGGTCTGTGGGGTGGACGCCAGGAACCCCGGGTGACGGCGGAGGTGGGCGGAGAGTCGGGGGCCAGGCCTTGGGACCCCACTCACCCTGGTGACTGAGAACCGTGCGGCAACCAATACAACAGCTGTGGCGCTTGGCGAAGGCCAGGAGGCCGCCGACCTTGCCCGTGAGCACCGTCTTGCATCGCGTGTGGTCGCCGCCTGCAGCGGGAGGGCGAGGGTGGGTGTGGGCCAGCGCCCCCCGCTGCCCCCACCCCCAGGCCCGGGCCCCCTGCCCGCCCTGGGCGCCCCGTACGCAGCAGCACGGCCTCGGCTCGGCCCTCGCCCAGGATGGGCTCGAAGATGCGCAGCAGCGGCTTGGCGAGCTGCTGCTCCAGGTAGTACTGCGTGTCGACGGGCAGGCTGTGCTCCAGCACGAACAGGGGGTCCTGTGGGCACAGCGGCCTGCGGGGTCACACTCGGGGTCCGGGGTGACGGGGACCAGGAGCCACTGGCTGCGGCGCCCTCCGGTCATGAACGGGGACCGGGGTACAGCAGCCGCAGGACACGGATGGGGGAGGGTGCGGATCTGAGGGAGCGAGAGACGGGAGAACAAGGACCGGGAGATGGGCAGAGGCTCCGGTGCACGGCGAGGCCGCGCCCCCGGGGCGTGAGGGAGGGGTCGGATGGACAGGGGGAGGCGGGGTACCCTCCACAGCATGCCGGCCGGCCTGGGAGCAGAGTGCCACGGAGCCGACTCCTGGGTGCACCGGGGGCAGCTGCCGGGGCCTCTCGGGGTGAAGAGGGAAACACCCTCCCCCTGGGCTCGGAAAGCAGAAGTGAGAGCGGGCGGCCGGGGCGGCCAGGTGGGCCTGACCTCAGACTTCATGTAGGCGGCCACGCCCTTGGCGGCTCCGATGATCACGTACGGGACCCGGTCGCCCAGGCTGGGCGCGCTCCCGGGGTCCCGCTTCCTCATCCTGCGGGGAGATTGGGGACAGTGAGCAGTTGAACCAGCGGGCCCGCCGGGGGCCCAGGAAGTGGCAGGCTCAGCTGCAGGAGGGGCACCCTCGGGCTGGGCCGGCCCTGCACCAGGCGAACCTCTCAGCCAGCTCCACGTGGGCCTGTTTGCCGGCGTAGTCGGCGGCTGCACGGGTCAGCTCCTTGGTGATGACCAGCTGGGAGATGTCGATGCGGTTACACAGCAGGTCCGAAATGACGTCCTGCACATGGGCCACCGCGCCCTTGGGATCTCTGTGAACCGGATGTGGGGGCATCACCACTGGCTGCTGGGGGCTGGGCTGGTACCTCCATTGCCCCACGGCTGGGGGACCAGGATCAGCTTGGGGGCTGAGACCCGAGGTGGGGAGGGAAGGGGAGGGGCAGCTACCGGCTGCAGGATGGCAAAGGCTGGCCTCAGCCCACAGCTGTCTAACTCCACACTTTCCACCACTCCCCACTGAGGGCGAGCTGCCTTGACACCTGTGTCCCCACGGGAGGAGGCCGGGGCTTCTGGGTCTGAAGGAGGGGGCCGGAGCTTCAGGGCTTGAGGGAGGGGCCCGGCCTGGCCTTCTGGTCTGGACAGAGCGCCCCACATACCTATCGATGAGCAGGCGGCGCAGAGAGGCGGTGACAAGGTTGGCCACCAGGGGGCAGTTGTCCCTGCGCACGGCCTCCAGGCCTTTGCAGTCCATGCGGTCGTGGGCGTCCGGCCGTGAGGAGAAGAGCAGCCCCGCATAGCGCTTCTTACTGATCAGCAGGTACGGGAAGTAGACCTGGGGTGGGGGCCGGCGCTGAGACCCCAAGAACTGGACGGCCCGGCCCCCAGTCCCGAGACGAGCCCCCAGAAACGGGACGGACACGGTCTCCGTGATGTGGGGCTGGGACACCTGGGGGGACGGACCCTGAGACCCCGGGGTCTGAGCCCGGGAAAATCCTCTGCATTCCAGGGATCCCCCATATCAGGGCCCCCAAATCTGAAACAGAGACTGGGGCACACCTAGAGACAGGTCTGGAGATCCAGATACTGGGGTGAAGCCTGGAGAGCCCCGTGTCTGGGCCTGGAGCACAGCTGAGGCAGACAGGGGATTCGAGGGGCACCCCCAAAGAGAAGACTAAGGCTCAGGGCCAGGGGGAGTAGGGCCCCTCCAAACTGGGAGGCCGTGAATCGAGCAGGGGCGCCCCGCAGGTTGGCCGCGATTCGCATCCTGGGGACGGAGTCTGCTGTGGGCGTTGCCGAGCCGGCCTGCTGCACACCGAAGACAGGGGGCACTGGACAACGGTGCCCCAGGCCAGGACTCGCCTGCTGGGGTCCTCGCTGCCCAAGGCGGCCCCCACACCCGACAGGGACCGGGAACCCCCAAACCAGCGACGCTCCAAGACCATCGGGGCTGTCGAAACACGGTCCCCGCGCTGTGTACAAAGGCCCAGCTGCGGAGGTTTCGCAAACAAGGCCCCAGACTCAGGAGAATCCAGAAACCGGGGCTAACGACCCCAATGATTGGGACGCCCAGAGGACCCTTCTCAGGGCACCCCAAAATAGAGACCCCATGCGAATGCATTCGTCAGCTTTGCAGGCACCTTGGGAACGAGGGGCCCCCTGAAACTGGCAAGACACACACCTGCCCATGCTGAGCCCCGGTGGGCACTCACCTTCTCAAACTCGAGCCGGATGGGTGAGGGGAAGTGGCCGGACACCCAGTCCGCAGCCTCGCGCCCTAGAGCCATCGCCTCAGCCACAGAGGAGACACCAAACCGGCACATGACAGAGTCGGTGTCGCCGTACACCACCTGGGGTGGGGGGTGGGGGAGTGAGACCAGGAGGTCCCCATACCCGCCCGCCAGGCGCGGCTCCAGGCCCGTCCTGGGCGGTGGGCAGGGCGGCCCCTGACCTTGGCGTTGGCGCTGTAGCCGCTCTCGATCGTGTACTTGGACTCCACCAGCTGCTTCGTTTTCTCGATCATCTGGCGCCCGAAGCCAGTGACGCTCTGTGAGGGGAACCAAGCGGGTAGGGCCCAGGGGCGGTGTGCCACGCACGCAGGCTCGCGGTCCCACCTCGACCCTTCCCGAAGGTGTGGGCTGCGTTGAGCCACTCTGTCCCTTTGGGCCTCCGGTTCCAAGTCTGCAAATCGGGCTATTAAGCTGCTCCTTCACGATGCAAAGAAGGGGCCCCTGACCCAGAGCTCTGGGCACAGGACGACCTGACCACATCAAATGA